TGAGACGGGGTGAACCTGACACCCAGGCCCTCTAGACCAGCTCTCTTGGGCTCTCTTCATGTCTATGTCTCTCTGTCTCTCCGTCTTTCTCTTACCCCTGCCTCCTGCCCTATCTTTCTTTCCCCTTCAGAAGACTGCTAAGGCACCAAGGTGGGAGGTGGCAGGCCAGCTGAAATATGATCAGAATAATTAAATAGCATTTTATTTTAAATCATTGCCTCCCCCAGAGCGGAAAGAATAATTGGCCAGTCCGTCACAAGGGAAGCAGGAGACCCGTGGGCCCCCACCATTGCCAAGTTTGGCTCATAGTACCCTTGGCAGCAAGTGACCTCTCCTGTGACTGCTACCCTGCACCCTTCACCTGCCCTAGCCTAGCCCTGCCCTCCACTCCTCCCACCTCACCTGTTGTTCTACCCTTGGCATCTCCCCCTCTACGATGACTGCCTTGATTGAGCTGAGGGGAGAGCTGCAGACTGCTCTTAGGTCCCCAGTGGAATGGGGTTTATCAAGGCAGTCTGCCTGGCAGAGGCAGTCTGTAGCAAGGCTTTGATGGCAAAGAAAACGCCTCCTTGGGAGTGGTGAGAAGGCCTGCAGAGGTAGGTGGGGGTCCAGAGATCCTCGCCCCTACTGGGCCTTGGCCTCTCCTGGGCCTTGCCCTGTCTGCTCTTGAACAAAGCCCTCCCCCTTCCCTCTCATCCCTCTGCAGGGTCCAGCCGCCCACACCTATCCTTGCCCTCTGAGGGTGAACCTGCAGTGTCACCTGTCTCTGTTTTTTTTTTGATTTAATTATAGATGAGTTTTCTGCATAATTTATTCCAAAAGCCTGGATTATACTGTACAATTAAATCACATTCTGATCAACAACTTCACGTATAAAATTAACAACTGGCAACAGTTTAAACTATGCTGTCGCATCTGTATATAGGCTCTTTCCCTCAGGTCAGGTCATCCACGGGGTGGTCAGAGCTTTGGTAAGTTTCAACTACACACAGCAACTCTGGCCCCCCTCCCCTCCCTTCCCCTCCCGTCCTCCCCTCTCCCATCTTCCCTACCTCTTCCTCCCTGTCTGGGGGAGCCTGTGCATCTGGCCTCGGAGCTGGAGGCCCTCACTGCTCTTGTAGCTTGACCTGGGGCCTCCCCAGCCTTCTAGTGGGAGTCTTGATAGTTCTGTCTGCTAAAGGGGATCCTCGGCTCCAGCTTCTCGCTCCACATATGGATGATTTTGCTCCCTTGCCTAATGATGACAACCTCCTCTTCCCTCACATACTCCTCTTGGTTCTGAAACATGCCCTGGAGACTAAAAGACCTGGAGTCCCACAGCATCTGGTGTCATCTTCTTCCTGCTGGGCTGCCCTCAACCCTCTAGCCCTGGGACACACACATCTTTGCCCTGTGCCTGCTCCCGACCTCTCTCAGCCTGGGGAGGAGGGGGTTACAGGGAGCCATTAGGGAAACCCTTTCCACAGTTCCCTCCCTCTGTGCTCTCTCCCCCCAGCAGGCATTCAGGGAAGATTTTCTGAGCACTGGGGGGCGAGGAAGGGCTGGATTTGATGAGCTTCTAGCCCTCAGGGGACTGCCCAATAATAATACTGCCCATCAAGGTTCCGTGTGGATTTGGCCCTGAAAGGTATTCAGCCAGTCATTATCTTCCCTGTTTACAGACCGGAAAGCTGAGGTTCCGAGGGGCAAGAACTCTCCGAGGTCACACAGCTGACAGAGGCAGCCTCTCCCTTAGGCTTCCCAGAGGCTGCATTGTCCTAGGAGGGTGGGGTCATGGAGGTGATGGAGCCAGGAAGACAGGTCTGGCTTCTCTCTGTAGAACATGGCTCCGCACCTGTCCTTGCCAGGGGCCTCAGTTTTCTTGTTTGTGAAATGGGGGCTCAGTGCCTGCACCCCACTAGGTTTGGGCACATTGGAGGACATAATGGTGTGAGGCTGTCATGGCCACACCAGACATCATGCCGGCTGCAGTCCCCGGCTGCACATGCCTCCTCCCAGACACTCTCTCTCCTCACTGTCTTGCTAATTTGGCACTTAGAGACACTTGGAGATAAGCAGTGTCATCTCAATGAATCGCATAGAAAATCACAGGGATGTGGGGAGCCAGCAGGGGGATCTACCCTGTTGGGGGGGGTGACCCATGGGCCACACTGTCTGGCCAGGGAGCAATGGGAGATCCAGGCACCTGGGTCCAGATTGATGGGACCCCAGGCAGGATTTGGTCAGTTTGCCTTTGACCCAGTGGCGCCATGAATCCTGATGCATCCCCCATCCTTTCAAAGCCCGCATGCCCTTCTGTTGGTGTGAGTATGACTGTGCCTGGCCAGGGTTACTACGGGCTTGGTGGGTGGTTTCTCCTGCCTCTGGGCAAGAACACTGCAGGTGCATAGTTGACTCCTGGCCTCCTGGGTCCCATGTGTCACCCCTTGGAACCAGCACTGGGACACCAGCCAAACTCTGGAACCCACAAATTCATGTCTCTGTGATGATGAAATGAATGATCTATCACGTTCTTTTAAACTCTTGGACACATATTGCCTTCCTAGTTGGGTTTGGTTTAGGTGAATGATCAGAATAACTTGTTTTCCCTGGCATCGTGATGATGGGCATTGCAGCTGGGGCCTGGGGTCTACCCATCAGACCCACCGTGCCAGACCAAGGGCTAGAGCCACCTCTAGACCCCAGGAGGGTGTGCCTGTTCTGATGTGTCAGGGGTAGGCCAGTCTCTGTGGCCCATAGCAGCATCCCAGGCTCTCAGGAGCATAAAACAGCCACCTGACACACTGTCAGGTGCTTATGGCTCAGCCAGGGCCAAGCCATCAGCTCCTGGTGGCCTGGAGCCAGGGGACAAGCAGGCTCTCCATTCTCTGCTGGGCTTTGCCCTCCCCCAGCAAAAAACCTCCCCTGGTGGTTGAGGCCTGATCACCCTTCGTAGCCTGGCCTGCAGCCTGGCCTCCACCTGGGCTTAGGGTTAGCTTTTCCCCTGCAGTGGGGAGCAGAGGTGGGCATCAGGCTGTGTCTCAGCCAGCAACAAACTGAAGCTGATACCTCTTTCTCTTTTTTAAAAAAATAGATTTTATTTATTTATTTATTTTTGGCTGCATTGCGTCTTCGTTGATGCGTGTGGGCTTTCTCTAGTTGCAGCGAGCGGGGGCTGCTCTTTGTTGTGGTGCACGGGCTTCCCACTGTGGTGGCTTCTCTTGTTGCAGAGCACTGGCTCTAGGCATGTGGGCTTCAGTAGTTGTGGCTCGCAGGCTCAGTAGTTGTGGCTCACAGGCTCTAGAGCTCAGGCTCAGTAGTTATGGCACATGGGCTTAGTTGCTACACGGCATGTGGGATCTTCCCGGACCAGGGCTTGGACCAATGTCCCCTGCATTGGCAGGCGGATTCTTAACCACTGCACCACCAGGGAAGCCCAATACCTCTTTCTTTTGATGTTGACTTTTTTTTTCCATCACGGTCCTGACATTCAGCTTGGCAAATTGCAATTAGTGATCCACCCGCTTCCTGATCTGAGTTCCCATGCCAACCGATGCGGGCACACACAATGGCAAGGGCCCAGCCCCCAGCCACAGGGATATGGGGCAGGGGGCTGGGGTAAAGACTTTAGCTTTTCTGACCCAGGGAGCTGTAAGAGTCCTGGCCCCGAGTGGCAGTAGGGGAGGTGGGGAAGGTAGCAGGCCCAGGGCAGGAGTTGGGGCCAGACTCAATCTCCCGGATCCCGTGGCTCCTGGGGTACCCTTCCAGAAGCTGGGGGCTGGCTTCACCCCACCCTTACCTGGCCTCACAGGATGTTCTTATTAACCTGTGAGCATATTTCAGTCTGTGTGGTAGTTCTCCTGTGATCGCTCCTGGGGAAGGCTTTGTTCTGTGTCTGGTGGGAAGGGGAAGTTGAGATGCCTTTCAGATGCATTAGGGCAGAGGCTTTGGTCACAGCAGAAAGTGCTTTTGGCAGTGTGGAGAGTGTCTCTCTGGCCAGCAGGCCCTGGCAAGCGCTGGTGTGATTTTGCTCACCTGATCTGGCACTGCCTAAAGTGGGATCACAGGTTAGAACCCAAGCCAGCCCTCTCCCCAGAAACCATCCCTGTTCATGAGTGTGGGCTGAGAATACAGGACCTTGTGACCACCTGTCCATCCTGTCCCCTCACAGAGACCCCTGTGCAGCACCCTTGACCCTCCAGTTCCCATGTGTTCTTCTCAGACCCTACAAGGTGGCCCCAAATTATCCCCACTTTCTGGGGGAGGATAGTGAGACCCAGATAGGTTAAAACGAGCTCGGCGTGGCATCAGTGCAAGGGAGACCTGCTCAGGCTGGTGGCTCTGGTGAAGGGCTCATGGGGCTTGCCAGGCCCCCAGAAAGGTGTGGGATAGTCTGAACTGGACCTGTGGGTAGACAGTTCACGTGGAGCATCTAGTGATGAGCCTCTGTTTACTAGGGTACTGGAAAGGCGAGGGCCGTCTGAGCAGGAAGCTCTCCATGTCCACTGTTTAAATGAGGCCCAGAGGGGCAGGGGCCTGCCCCAGGTTACACAGTGACTTGGTGGTGGCAGCAGCTCTCATGTTCCCTCCCCTTGCCTAGGTGCCACCCAGCCTTGGGGCAGAAGGCTCTGAGATCCAGCAGACACCAGGCTCACTCACGTCCCCTCCTCCCTGGTATCCTGAGTCCCCATGTTCAGAGCAGCAGCATCAAGGGCTGGCTCTTCACGGTGAAAAATAGTCTCCCTGCAGGCTTCTTGGAGCCGCTGGACTCCCTCAGTGCATTTAAACTATAATCTGCTCCCCTCCCTGGCTGTCCAACAGTACGTGAGGAGAGCCTGGGCCACCGGGTCCAGACTTCAAAGGGAATCAGAGGCACGCTCTGGTTCCCAGCCTCTGTTTCTCTTCTAGTGAAAATTGGGTTCTGAAGGGGCAGCTGCTGCGTGTCACCCCTCGGTGGCTGGGGCGGGGCTGTTCCAGCCCCAGGCGGGTCCTCCTGACACACCTCTCCTCTCTGCACACAGGATGCAGCACTGGGCCCGGCGCCTGGAACAGGAGATCGATGGCGTGATGCGGATCTTTGGGGGTGTGCAGCAGCTCCGTGAGGTAAGCCTGGTGCCACTGGCTTTCCCTTTAGGGACCCTGTTCCAGCTGGAAGTGAGGGAAGGGCTTCAGCAATAACGAGTGAGGAAAGCTTGGTGCAGTTGAGGACCCAGCGTGATGGGACACGGTGGACTCATGGGGGCAGGTGGGGAAACAGCTAGAGACACAGCGACTCCTTCGGGTCTTGGCCTGCTCTTCCCCAGGTCACAATGTTGAAATGGTACTTAGTCGGCTCTGACGGGTAGGTGTCGGGCTTTTCAGGAGGGTGAGATCTGTTTTTGAGGCAGCATACGGAGTGGGAGTCCAGGTCCTGGAGGGTCCCGTGGGTGTAGTTGTGCACGGAAGCCAGAGGGACTGTCCTCGCAATGAGTGGGGTGGCCAGGCCAAACAGCCCTGCAGAGCAGTCAGTGCTGCCTGCTCAAGGAGCTGCAGCACGAGACAAGTGGCAAGCGAGTGCTTGGTGAGATGAGGTATCGGGGGTGGGAGGGGTGATTGATTAGGCGCGAGCGACCACATTCATCCTGGGAGATTATGTTAATATTTGAAATAGTGATGTGAAGAGCAGGCCATCCGTCACCCCCAGAAGGCTGCAAAATGTGTCGCTGTCGGGCCACAGGCTCCTGAGCTGTCGCTCTTTACATGGAAACGCAGAGGCTTGGAGAGCTGAGCTCTTGGAGTGCTTGGGGTGGGGCTCCCAGGTATGTGCTGGACTTTAAGGAGCTCTTACTGGAGGCTTGGGCCAGAAAGTGCAACCTGAACTGAACAGTGGGTTAATGGGGATCTCGTACTGATGGTGGGCTTGGGCACAGCAGAGTAAATGGAGTTATTATTGCGGGTCCAGGCCCCTGGCTTGGCAATTAGGTACTCCACTGTGTTCCTGTGTCTCTCTTGGTCAGGGCCAGGTCAGCAGAGGTACGTCTGTGGGGCAGCTGCTATGAGGTGGTGTCCTCGGGCCTTTCCCCATGCTTAGCTTGTAGCAGGTACCCAGGAAATGGGGGTGGCAGTGAATGTGTTGACATTGGCTGTGGATGTAGGACCTCTGGCACAGGATGGGGCTGATCAGGGGTGGCTAATGTGGTGGTAACATAGTTAGGAGGGGGAGTCCGGGTGGGGGTCTGAGCCATCGACTTGCCGGGGGTCCTTCCGCCCAACCCCAGTGGCCCAGCCTCTCTGAATCTCCCTTCCCTGGTTACTGGGCTTGAATTGCAGTAACCCCCATCGTACTCTCTTCCTGTGAACTTTCAATGACTCAGCCACACTTGGAGGCCGGCAGAGCTTTCCAGAGAAGGCACTGTAGGAAAAGCTGTTCCGGAACAGAAGTCAATTTATGCTCAGGCATAGCACCCAGCACTTACTAGGTTTTAAGTGGGCACTGCCAAGAGTGCAGCTGTGTAGGTTAATGAAGAAATGAGAGTTCCCTGGAATGTGTGTAATGTGCCTCTCCAAGCTTCATATTGGGACATAAGATGTACCCCACATAAGGAGTTAACCATGCACTTCCAGTCAAGAATCTTCCGTACTTTCAATCCTCAGCTCAAGGATACTGCTTATTTTATAGTCGTGGGCACTCAGACCCTAAAAGTTTGCCAGTGGGAAAATAACGTACACATTTCATGCCTGAGACTCAGGTCTGTCTGAACCATAGCTTCCTGGATGGTGCAGACCAGAGATGGAATCCAGCTCAGCATACCCACTGTGTGCTCCTGGGCAAGTCCTAGACCCTCTCTGATCCTCATTCTTGGTCCATGGCATGGCCGGGAGGTTTGGCTGGAGGATGAGGTGGTGAGAATGGCAGGGGACAGGCTGACACAGATACACTTCTAGAAATCAAATCTGAATTACCCTCATTGATCATTTTCATTCCCAGGATATGTTGTTCCCTTCCTTTCTGATGGGAGTTGAGTGATTCCAGACACTTTCATCAATGAGCACATCTTTCCCCACTCCCACCTTCCCAGTGGTTACCAAAGTCACGCAGCCAGGTACAGCAGAACTGGGGCTTGAACACAGGGCTCCTGACTCCTGTCCCAGGGCGCTGCTTCTCCTCTAGCTAGGCCTTCCCTCTTGGGGTGGGCAGGATGAGCCTGGGAAAGAGGGGAGCTGGGCCAGGTTTGGTGTGGCTATGGCCAAGCAGAGAAGTGCTGACCTGGCGTTCTGGGCTCCTTCTGGCATCCCTCTGCCTGTCGACGGCTGCCAGCTCTCCAGTGGCTCTCTGTCCTGCTCCAGTTTTTCTCACCTGCTTCCTTAGCCTCTTGTTTTCCACTGACAGCTCTGGGGCTGCTTCTTGGCACAGGACACCCCTGTGAGGTGGGTGGCCGGGGAGCAGGTGAAGAGTTCTGGAGGAAAAGGGCAACCCTGTGAGAGCAGGAGAGAGCTAACCGGCCCCTCTTCCCCACAACCCCTGGCACCCCTGACAAAGCCACCGGGGCTCTCCTTCAAGTGCATATGAGAGGGCCCATGTGGCCAGCCCATGCCCTGAGAGCCAGGCTCTGAGAGTCAGGAGGATGCATGCATCGAAGCCCTGACCCAGCTGCGGTGCTCCGTGGACCCTGGTACCACCTCGGCCAAGCTTATGGCCTCAGTCCCCATTAGGCCCGCCCCTCTCCATGCTTCCTCGATGGGCCCCCAAACACCTTGCCACTGGGGTGATCCTTGGCTTTCTTCCCCAACATGGCTGCCCTCTCCACCGGCCCCAGTCCTAGAGGCAGCCCGACCCCCAGAAGCGGGGTGCCATAGAGCTGGCAGCTGCAAGAGTTCAGAAACTGCAGACGGTGGCATTTAGGAGCATTTTCCTTGTCTTGGCACTTTCCTCCTCCCGACCTCACCACAACCCCATAGGGGTGTGGTTGGGTGCAGACTGTGGCCCATTTACAGGCTGGACACAATGGCACACCTTGGTGGAGTGTGGGGGCTGTCTGCAGAGACCCTGTCACATTTCCTCATCTAACCCCAGGGCCAGCACAGAGTAGGAGCGCCCACTGTGGCCTGGTGCTCCTGAGCCATGCCCCACCGGGTAAACCTAGCCCCGCCAGCCCTGGCTTACTTGTGCCATGAACAGGCCACAGAAGTGTGGGCTCTACTGCAGTCTGCCCCCTCCAGGACCCCTAGAAGCTGAGCAAGGTCTCCTAAGCCCCTTTCCTACCCTCCCCCATCAGCACCATATTGTCATCCTTTGGGGGGATAGCAGAGAGCATATGCTTGGGCTCTGAGCTCATTCACATAATGAGGCTGATCAGGATGAATAATTCATCAGGTGCCTGGGGGTGCACAGGGGACCATGTGGAGACAGCCTGTCTCCCCACTCTGAAGCCCAGGTCACTCTGATGGGTACAGCCAGGGACCTATCCCCTTCTGACTGGGTGTCCAGGGTAGAAAGGGAACAACTCTGGGGACCTTGTGGGAAAGCAAAGCAGGACAGATTATAGTCAGACAGGAGGAAGAACCAGTGGCTCATCAGGTGCACCAGCCCTGGGACGGATTCCTGATTTGGGTGAGACACCTTCTGTGGAGGGTCTCTACAGAAGGAAGTGAGAAGATCCTCTGTCTGGGGTGGGGGTCGGGGGTGAGGAAAGTCTGTCTGGCTAGAGCTGGTTTGGGAGCAGAGACCTGGGATGGTCATGTCTGTGGACTACAGGCCATCCTCTGGGAAAGCTCAATCCAAGTCTGGACCTGTGGGAGCATTTCTCAGTCCACATCAACCCCCACCCGTGTCTCAGGGCAGAAGTGGCTCAGAGCCCTGCCTACGTCCCTGGCTGCTTCCGCCCCCGTGACGGCCTTAGCCCGGCTGTATGCTGCTAGTCGCTCGTGGGGAAACCAAGGTGTGGTTGACTGTCTTTACCCAACAGTCCCATCCTGGAGCCCAGACTTGCTAGCCCTGGGTAGTGGTGGGGTTGGTGAGAACTATCAAGGCAGAGGTGCAGGCCTGGGGTGGCCCCTGCCCTGGACTGCTGAGCTGCATCCACAGAGAGCGAGACCCCAGGACTCAGAGATCCCTGACTCCAAGTCTCCTGCTCCCCTCCCCACGGCTCTGATTCTCTGGACAGTCATGGTGAATCAGACAAATGCTGTTCATGTGTCCCCACTTCTGTGGGTAGCCAGAAATGGGATTTTTGAACCAGTGACGGCACCATAGTCCTAGCCCATCTTGTCTGCCCCTGGCCATGCCCACACCGCGTCTGCTCAGTGCTCCCTGGGAATGTGTAATTAATATTTGCAGAGTGCCACATCTGGAGCTGGCTCCAGGCAAGGACCAAAATCTGGCCACATTGAGGACCCATTTCCTGAGGGGCTCAGGGAGGCAGGAACAGGGCCCTCCGCAGGTGCCCTTGAAACAGGCTTCTCCCAGGACTTCCCTGGTGGTGCAGTGGATAAGACTCCACGCTCCCCATGCAGGGGGCCCAGGTTCAATCCCTGGTGAGGTAACTAGATCCCACATGCATGCCACAACTAAGAGTTCACATGCCACAACTAAGGAGCTTGCCTGCCGTAACTAAGACCCGGTGCAACCACATAAATAAAGAAAAACAGCCTTCTCCCTGTTCCTCCACTCCCACACCCCGCTGGTACCGCCAGTTCCTGAAACACATGCGCTGTCACACACTGGCTCAGGGGGTGCTGGCCAGGGCTGTGTTTGGCCCCCCTTTGGGGTAAGGGGTCCTCTCTGGGCATCTCAGGTGGGATCAGCAATGTCCAGGAGTACCAGGGAAGCTCAGAATGCTAGAGGGGCAGCAGAAGAGGATGAAGGAAGCTGGGGTGGGGGAAGGTGCCAGGGGACAGAAGCAGCCCTGAGAGGGCCAGAATGGGAGTTCAAGTGGTTGTGACCCCCAGACCTACAGTTGGTCCTTCTATCAAAGCACTGTGGTTCACATGTGCCCCAAGAGTCAGTCCACCTTGGCCAGGTGGACCTGCACTCACGCAGGACATGCACGGTTGTCCCAGCTAATGTGCTCAGTCCAGAGAGTGGTGGTGAGGGAGACCCACCCAGGCCCATCACACTCCCTCCC